AACTGAAAATTCGATACTATTTCCTTCGCATTTCATATTTTTGCTGTAACTTTTTAACGAAGCCTCAAACGACCTATGTTGATATAACATTTTTCTCTCACTTACACCCATAGAACGCACTGACAAAGTTTGATAGAAAACAAATTGGGACACCCGGTATATTGTATTTTTCGTTTATTCGATGAGTTGGGATTTTCGCGTTACACAGGACTCGTTGTTTAGTAAAATACAAATATATCTACCATCGAATCTTCGAGAATCTATTGCCCTCTTCAGCGAATCACGCGTGAAATCTAAGAAATCGTTGTTAATTTCCTGCTCGACAACGAGGAAAGATAAGCGCAAACGCGATGGTATCTCCCGCGCGTTATCTGTTCGAGTTGAACTGATTGCGCGCGGCGAACATCAAAAACGGCCGCGGACCATTTGCTACGGAGTGCTATGTGATAAGCTTGTCATTTTCGAGTGAAAAAAAAGAAAAGAAAAAGCTCTATCAGCCGGTAGATGGCGATAAATCTGATCTTGAGAATCGTAGACGTGATCGATACAGTGGACGTGTGGGAAGTAAAGGTTTAAAGGGGAATTCATATGTCGCGAACGAAGCGTGACACAGTCGAGAGGACGAGGGATTCGAAAACAGCTCCCGTTATCTGCGATTTCGTCCAGTTTGCTGATTCGCCGAGGCAGAAAACGGCCGTGTGATTTTTGCCCAATAGAAAGTGGCCGGTCGTTATCGGAAGACGCGCGCCGCTGATTGGCCAGCAGCGATTCGTTCGCGACACCGTCGCCTCCAAACGGGGGTTGGAAATTCGTCGTAAACGCGGCATGGAAACACCGATATCTCCGCTTAACGCGAGAGTTCGATACTTCGTTAAACTCTGGCCTGGCTCGCGCCGTTACCTTGTCCTATTTATAAAGACAGCCTGTCCCGTTAATTAAATCGCGCCCGGAGAGAGGCTGTTCAGATAAGAAACCAGCACTTTTGTCACGGAAATGGTTGTTTCAGAATTGTGAAACGTTCTCACCGGTTCGTATATTCTGTCTCTAACGAAATGAAATATCACACTCGGGCGAAATTATTTTATTTCAAATTCTATTTATTGCTCTTCGGAAATGTTCTACAACGAACGTACCAAGAATGATCACTCAATAAGCACGATACCTGGAACTAAGTTCGCCTGCCTGAGTCCAATCAGTCTCGACCCGTTGGCAGGGGGCGTAAAAGACGGATTGTTCCACGATTCCGTCCAAAACAACCAATTAGTATAATTATGCCGATAAATTCAAATTTAATTGGCCAACGTTTCTCCGTCTATCTCCCGAGGAATACTTTGATCGCTGTTACACCGTGTACAATCGAAAGCGAAATAATAATAATCCCACCCCTATTATCCTCTCGCAATCAGCGTATTTTGGTTGCAACGTTCGATCTAATTGCACGAATAATTCTTCGTTTCACGTGAAACCAAGGCGAACACTCGATGCACGCCACAGGAAACGCGTGTTTCCTACGATAAAAAGAAAACGAGTGAGAGAGAGAGAGAGGGAAAAAAATAAATTCCCTCGACACGATATCCTTTACGTTTTGATACGGGCGTGCTCGAATTGACCTTTCACTCCGGCGAGAAGGATTAATGCACTTATCGTTCGCCAACGGGCCTACTACCAGCAGCAGCAGCAGCGTGCAACGGGCAAAAAGGAGAACGTCGTCGTAGGGAATAAATGCAGAATTTAATTATCGTCCCTCTCTGTCGCTCTTTCGAAGTCGCTTCGAACGGTGCTCGCAACATCTGGCGAGGCAAGCGTGTTTCCAGAGACCGAGCTTTTTATCGTTTCGTACCTCCCGGTGGTGAATATCCACGCTCGAGTGCAGATAGAAATTGGCCGAAACCGCGATACCATCGCGTTTTCTACGTCCACGTCAGACGAGTGTTATCAGCGTATCGTCGATGTGCCCGTGATTAAGCGCAGTTCTCCTCTATTACACGCGTGATCTCGTCTCCTCGAGGAGATTCTCGGGCGTGCTCAAAACACTTCACTCGTGTCCATCTACGTAACATCGGCCGATTAGCCGTTGGACTGGGATTTCCTTGCGACGACGTAAAAGTGGCCCTGAAACGATCGAGCGACTACGTACTTTTTCCTCGTTTTTATCGAATTGACAAGGGAAGAACTTTTTCGTTTGAAGGTGCTTCTGGCAAAATTGTATATTTCCGAATGTTAGCAACGACCACGTAGTTGAAACGGGAAATCGTGCAAGTGCCAGAAGTGAATTGCGAAGAGGTTAATTTTGGCACTCGGACCGTTTGTCACTTGAACGCTGTGAATCTTCAACGTTGGCTATTTTTATAGATCCGGAGGAAAAGTAAATAGTAAAAATATGTCGGATTACTTGAATTTATTTATCCGAGTACTATTTCTGGCATTTGCTCGTTTATCGTTTCCTCCATTATTTAATACGACAAAATTTCCAAGGTGAAGAACTCTGCATAGCTTGAAGAATGTCTGTCGAGGTATTTTCTAAAATTTGATAAATTGTCGGAGTTCCGACCGAAATAGGCCAACAGCAGCGAGCAAGGATAACGAAAAGAAAGCTTGTACACTCGCATTCGACGAAGAGGCGCGCGACAAAGTAAAGGTTCGCCAGTCACGTCGATGTTCCCGAAGGCTTCGCTTACCGAAAACACGTTTTACAACGATCTTGGACGTTCCTCGCCCTGCCCACCCATTTCTCCTTGCACGCGATACCGATTCGATGTAATTTCAATGTCCGCAGTAACTTAATTACCCACGCCGACACTCTCCTGGTTCCAACCTGCACGCGAATCATCGGCACAATCTCAGCGAAGCAACTCACGCCGAAAATCCTCTTTCGAGTTCTCACGTTCGTAGCTTATTCTTAGCCTTCCGTTTCTTTTTCCCTCGCGATGAAAACTCGCTCTCGCAAGAGAAGAACACGGTGGTGTGTTTGCACGAGAAACGTGTGTTTCACAAGATTCCAGAGCAGAAGACGAGCAGTAGAGAGAGCGGAGGAGATTTTCGCCCCCTGAAATATAACCGCGAATCCATCACGGAGCCCTCGTTAGAGGCAGCGAGACAACGCGTCTTCCGCGAACCGAAACTTAAACGAGATTATCGCTCCGCTCTCGACAGCCGCGCGTGAATAATTCGACGCAGCCGGCGACGGTGAGCTAGAGAAAGCTCTGTGCAACGCACAGCAGATGAGACGAGAGAGAGAGAGAGAGAAAGAGAAGAGAGAGAAAGAGAGAGAGGAGAGAGAGAAAGAGAGAGAGGAGAGAGAGAAAGAGAGAGAAAGAGAGAGAGGAGAGAGAGAAAGAGAGAGAGGAGAGAGAGAGAAGGAGAGAGTGGAGAGAGAGAAAGAGAGAGAAGGAGAGAGTGGAGAGAGAGAAGGAGAGAGTGGAGAGAGAGAAAGAGAGAGAGAGCGAGAAAGAGAGAGAGAGAAAGAGGAGAGAGAGAGAGAAGGAGAAAGAGAGAGAGAAAGAGAGAGAGAGAGAGAGAAAGAGAGAGAGAGAGAGAGAGGAGAGAGGAGAGAGAGAAAGAGAGAGGAGAGAGAGAAAGAGAGAGGAGAGAGAGAAAGAGAGAGAGGAGAGAGAAAGAGAGAGAGGAGCGAGAAAGAGAGAGAGGAGCGAGAAAGAGAGAGAGAGCGCGAGAGAAAGAGAGAGAAAGAGAGAGGAGAGAGAGGAGAGAGAGAGAGAATTCTCGTAGACGAGCGAGAAGTGGTGGATTCGAAAAGGGGAGGTCGTCGCGATTTCACGGAGGACGTGTGCGGTGTCCCTTAGGCTTCCATCACCGGGATTCCAAGCTAATTCGTGGCAAGACCACGCGCTAATCCGTCTTGAGTTGAACCGGCGGGAGTAATAATCGTCCGGCACGCCTAGCACGACGGGCCAATCAATCTGTGGCCAGGATGGTCACGCATATTTCACGCGTGAAATGTTACAAAGCGTATTGCAAAAGTATCGCAGTGGAGGATGCGTGTGTATTTGTAGGAGTGAGGGTGGACGTTTTCGAAACGCAGCTAATAAACCGTTTAATGATCGCGTTTATAAATACGCGACGGTCGTAACTCTTACGATTAGCCGCGGGACGCACAATTTGGATAATTTATCGTTCCTCCGGGGACTAGGATCTATTTTGTTGAATGACGAAGTATGAACGGTATAACATGAAGTTTTATGGTTCTCTGGCGTGGACGGAATTCAATTTTCTCTCGTTATAAGGGCTGACCAAGTTTTTTTGTTCGAGGTTTCATTTGAGGGTTCGGTGTGTGAGTAATTAAGTAGCTGTTACTGCTAGGCAAAGTGTGAATTGTAATTTTCGAGATGATTGATAATTAATCAATAAATCTGACAAAAATTCTGATCCCTTAGGGAGCTCAAACTTCTCAAAATGTATTATGCCTTTTTACTAAAAATTCTGATCTCTGTAGAGAGCTCGAACTTAGGACCTGACAATCTGCAATATGATCGCAATTAGTACGCAAAAAGTAATACGAATTGCGGGCTTTCTTATCGCATCTCTTAAAAACTCTGTGCTGTCTGTGTATCTCAAACTTCCAACCAGAGTCTCTACAATGCAACTCACAACTGATACGCACACGCCACTTGAATTGCACAAACAAACCGAAAAGAAAATTCTTATCTCTCCGTATTCCTCAAACTTCCAACCACAGCCTCCGTAGCGCGTCTCACAATTAATGCAAACAGCCCAGAAATTACTTTAACAAATGACCCTATTAATCACATGTCAATAATAATCAATAAACCGAAGGAAAACGGCCGGCTTATTACTACAATCTCCCCCCCATACCCAACCCGTCTATATAATCACCCATGAATAATTCATCCGTAATTAGAAAAAAAAAAAAAGAAGAAAAACGAACTAATTACCATCTAATCAACGAACAAACGCGTCAATCGTCGTTTCTAGAAAAATAAGAACGAACAAAAAAAAAAAGGAAGAAAAAGAAAAGTACTCACCAGAGGTGGGTAAAACGCTGAGCTGTCCATTCCGATGCTAGGGTAAGGCCCTTGGTCGGTGGTGGACGGCGTCGGCGTGGGATAGGACGAATAGGAGGTGGCAGTGGGCGCTAGCCTTGGATAAGCGCCCAACGCCAGCCTTGCCGCGCTGTCGTACTGACAGCTGCACACCGTTTGTCCTGTGACAGGGTCTGTCATCATGGGCCTGCCGTTCTCGCAGCAACCAGGCCCCGTGGTGCCGGCTACAGGGGTGCTCGCCCCTCCGGAGGCGGCGGCTGCCGCGGCGCCGGTCGTCGTCGCCGTCGAGGACGGTGAGAGCGCGCCGGGGCTGAGCGCGCCTCCCGACGACATCGCCGGCGATGTCGCCGTCGTTGGCTGTCCGCCGCTCACCAGCAGCTGAAAAGTTTTTAATTGCCCGCGTTAGTACTTCCTCTTAGGGACTGCAACATGTGTGCGAGTGTACGTGTGGAAAAAAGAGGACGGTAATTAGGTGTTTGCTTGAACGAGGGATTTTTACAGTTGTTTTTCTGCATTTTTTGGTAACTCTGAAGGATGGTTTGAGGATGTTGTTCAAGGGTGTTTGGGTATGTTTGAGGAATTTTTTGGAGCTGTGGTTCTGATTGGGAAGGTTGAATGACGGTGAATCGAGCGTAATGGAATTAACTTAATGGGAAAGAATCGTGGTAATTAGGTGTTTGGTTAAGGGAGGGGTTTTAGAGCTGCTTTTGTCAAGATTCGGGGAGCAATGGAGAATGGTTCGAGGGTGTTTGGTTAACTGAGGGATTTTTGAAGTTGTTTTGTGAATTTTTGAAAAATTGTGTAAAGTGGTTTGAAGAGATCAGGTGTTGGTGCTTGAAGAACTTTTTGGAGTTGTAGCGTTGGTTGAGAAGGTTGAGGAGGATAAGGAATGACGATGAATTGAACATAATGGAGATGTTGTGAAAATAATGGAAAAAATGATGGTATTTAGGTGTTTGGTCAAGTGAGGGTTTTTATGGATTTTTGGGGAGCAATGGTCCGAGGGTGTTTGGTTAGCTGAGGGATTTTTAGTTATTCTGTGATGAGCTTAGGTGTTTCGTTGTTTGAGGAATCTTTTAGACTCGCATTTTTGCTTGAGAATTTTGCGAGAGAAATGATGGTGAATTGAACATAATGGAGACATTATGGAGACAGTAAAATGACTAGAACATGTGCACGTATGAATGCAAAAAGAAAAAGGGATGGTAATTAGGTATGTAATTAATTGAGGAATTTTTACAGTTGTTTTTATAAATTTCTGTGGAGCAGTGGGCAATGACTTGAGGAACTTATTCGCTAATAACAATGAAACTGTACACGTGAAGTGATCGGATGTTCGATCGCCTGAAAAATTTTTCACAGTTGTATCTTCGTTTTGCAACTTGGCGTTACAAATGGAACGACGAATTGAGGAAAAACGAACACGTCATGGGAATAACGAAATCGACGACTCTCAAGTACATAAATTACCGCGAATTTTTTTCCTACATGTGCACGTTAAGATCGTGCAGATCTCGCGAGGAGATTGTCGTCCGAACGCGTCATCGGTGGTTCGGCGAAGAACCGGCTAACGGACGTTCCTCGACGAAAGCCGCGATAAGAGTGCCGTAGATCTTGTCAGTGCTGTCTTAAGTGGTAGTAACATCGAATAATAAGATAATCGGATAGATATGAAATTTAATTGAATTAATATTAGGAAGGGCAAGTTTCGAAATAATATCGGACAGATCTAACGAATTACATTTAGGTAATCTTGTTCGAGTGTTCGGTACTAGATAGCAAAGCTATACGTAAACAAATTATAAGTGTATCAATATACCGGCGGATACACAGAGAAGAAAAAATTGCTCACATTTGAAATGAAAACTTTTCTCCGTCTCTCACGTGACTCACAATAACCGGTGTGATTCATGGTACGCCGTTTCTCTCCCATCGACAGCGTTTTAACATTTACAGGAGCGTATTAAATACGTTACACGGGAAAATAAATGCCGGTCGGAAATAAGAGAAGCGTGTGTATCTGCAGGAAAATAAATTAACGAGCTGAACGCGGCGAAAGCATCGGGCTGTTTAAGAAAAAAATAATTCTAGCGCAAAGGGTTAATGGCGATAATGACGGTAATTTCGAAAGCAGGTGATACTCCGCTTATCGGCCACGGATCCGATTATAAATGCGTGCTCGATAACTCGATAGCAATTTCGTGTTACTTTAATGGACGATAATCGGGGATGGAGTAGCGGTATCTCTCGTTATTAAACAACAGATGACACTCGACAATTAACTCCTTAAAAGGACGATCGTGTGCAGAGTGGGGGCGTAGAAGCGGCGAAGAGCGACGAAAATTGGAAAAATCGAAACTCGCGTTAACGAGAGAAGCAAGCACACACTCCAAAGAAAAAATAGAAAAGAAAAGAAAAATTCCAATTTTTTCCAAAGTTAGTTGCAACGCACGCGACACGTCCACGTATCCTCAAGATCGCGGACCTTCGATAGCGATAATTGTCTGGTAATTTCGAGTAATGACGGGCGATACGTAGCTGAGGACAGAGGCTTTCGTGAAACGGGCTCGAATAAATTAAACGGAAATTTATCGTCGTGTCGAGTCGACCGAGTCAAATTGTCGGACACAGCCTTCGGTAAGATTGTCGTCGTTGTCGTGGTTCGGACCGTGTTTGCACTTTTACCAAGATATCGCGCGAAAATTAAGCCGCTTGCATGTTAATGCTTACAAAAAAAAAAGAGAGGAAGGAACGTGCACACAGCTCTCTGTCCGCGTTTTTCGCGAAAAATGAAGGAAGACAGGGGAAAAGGGGTAACACACCGCCATTCGTCAAGCCTCGCTATCGCCTGCACGCAGGAGAGCGGCGGCGAGGAAGAACGCCGCTCTCCTCGGGTACAACGACGATAGCAAATATCTTGTCGCGTATACATTTTCACGCGTAATTGGTGTACAAGCACGGACGAAAAAATGTTCCGTGTTTTATGTAACAAAGTATTATTATGTTACCGTCGCGCTATCGACACACACAACACGCAAATAAACGCAACACCGTTTCTCAAGTAGCACTTCGTGTTACACGATTATGACGTTCTCCGTTTACCTCGTACTCGCGTATACGACGTTACATGCGTATTATACGCTGTAAAACAAAAAAAAAAAAAAAAAAGAAGAATATCGTGACATCTTTTTCGAACGGGAGAAAGTTCGAACGATCCTTGGATCGATCGATTAACCTAAGTTTACGAGGCTGTAGGAAAAATGTGCGGGTAATTAACGTCGATATGAAACATCGTGTCTATATGTAATCGAACAAGTTCCGTAATTTGCATTATACTCGGGTCCGCCTAAGAAAAGACTCCCGAGATCGATATCACGCAAGGAGAACGAGACATTAGCCCACGGTAACCGCTTAATTGAATTTAATAATTCCTACAATCTACATCGCGGCTAAATAGAGAGAAACCGAGTTGAAAAAAGAGAGAGAGTCTATCGTCGTTGATCATAATAGCGTCTCTCGTGTACCTGTTGCACGCTTTAGCGAGAAGAAACTGCGAGGGAAGGAAAAAAAAAGGGCGAAAAGAAAAGCAAACACGGGAAATATAAATAATCAGGTACATCGAAATGTAATCAACAACGACGATAATAAATATGTCACTAGGTCTTAATTACGGAGCGCGGAGTATGCTTTACATAATAATTCCGTGTTAATAACTCTGTACACAGAACAGCATCGCGCTCCCCTACAACGTTCGCTGCAACCAAGAGAGGCTGTTTCTGTGAGAAAGAGAGAGAGAGAGAGAGAACTCGCGCCTCGAGTGCACCGGAACTTCCATTACATTTGAATAATCATACGACTCGACGAAGCTATACCTGTAATTTTTGCATAGAATTCACATGAATGTCTACGCATCCACGATATCAAACGATATAATTCATCCGGCCCGCCCCCTTTAGATAATCGTGTTTAAGGTTATAGCATTTACAAATTATCTAAGTATGTTGACTACACGGTTAACGACGGCGTGAAAAAGCGGACAAGCGGGATAAATTATTATTTCTGACCTGGTGGATATTTTTCACGCGTCTACACCGTGAAAACGTGCACACACGCATACGCTGAGAACAGGAAATTTTGCTACGCCTACTCGAATCAATCCTTCGAACGAATTTTCTTGTATAATTTAAATATTTTTCATTCTTTTTCATTCGCTCTACTATTTTTTCCCCCCTTGCTACTTTACCGTCTACGGTTCGGCAAACGAGAACCTCCAGAGGCAGCGCGGTACTATGCAAGCAACGGTGGCGCGATTCCGCGATTAATCGCTTCCCAAAGGCAGCTACTCGCGTCTCTCGAGCGTTCCACGAGGGGAGGATTGCGTACATATATCGCGCAGGCTTCTCTGCGGTAAATTAGCTCGCGGTAAATGAGGATGAAATGAATCCTGGTAATTAATACGGCAGGGACGCGGAGTTATTTCGAGAGAACGAGCTCCGCGGAGAGAAAGAGAGAGAGAGAGAGAGAGAGAGGAAGAGTATCGTTGATAAAGAGTCTCTTCTCGAGCCGGTTCCTTCGAAAAGCGGACGCGGGAAAAAAAAGGGGTGAAGAGAGAAGAATACACCGGAGAGGAAAACGGTTCGCTCTTCTATTCGTAGAGTTGGTGTGTCGAAATCAGCGTGGAGAACCGCCCACGTGATACGTGACAAATGGGATGAACGAAAACATTATTTTCACACGCACGATTTTCCCTTCCGCCGCTTTGTTTTCCAACCGAGAAGAAGAAGAGATACCTCGACTTCGCTGCGTGAAGAACAAAGTGGAAGAGAAAAAAAGGAGAGAAATAAGGGGGAGAAAGGAAGAAGACGTCGCCACCGTTTTTTTCAAACGCGTCCATATCTTCAGCGGCGTGGACGTGTTTACGAAAAACGGGATTCCACGTCGCGCTAAATAGTCGTAAGATATTTCGACGCCCTGCGCTGCCGCCGGCTACAAATTTCACATGATAATTTATCGCCTCGGATACTTAAATAGCGTCTCGCCGTGAAATTGGACGATCCCACCTCTTCGGCTCGTCTCATTCCACCGCCATTTGTATGCAACTTTTAATTTATTTTCATCAACGTTCGCGTAACTTTCACGGGCGAACGAGGCCCTGTCGCGGTCGAACTCTTCGTCGCGATCTCCTCGGCGTACACCTTTAGCTCCTCTCTTCTCTTCGTTCGGAAGGTAACACGGTGAGAGAGAGAGAGAGAGAAAGAAAAGAAAAGAAGTCCGGCATATTCCAACCCTAACCCAGTGGTTACAAGGACGAGGATTCTGCGATATTGCCTCTCCCCCTTGCCATAACCAAGGGAATCTTTAATTAAACCGACACGTTC